ACCAGAATGTTGGTTATTGCCTACCTGGAGACACTTCTCAGATACTTTCCTTTAAGAAAAGAAAAAGAGCAGGAGCAAACCAGTTTATAAATATTTGGCAATTTTTGACTAATTGGTGTTGATTACAGTTGCAAAAGGCTAGAAAATTTGTAAAGCAACACTCTCGAGATACAGGAATTTGGATTCACTCAGCCCTACCCTATTTGGCTTGAATTAAAAACACCCTTTTGTTTCCAAAGTTGTTTCTTTTTTAATTATCAAATACTGTTAAGCAAGCAAACCCACTTTGCTAGGAAACAAACAGCAAGGTTCTGTTGAGAAAGGTACTTAAGTTCCTGCCTTGTAAAGACTTGCTGAAAGTCCTTCTCTTGTAATTTTAAGCAATTTCTAACATTTGCGCATGTTCTTTTCTTTCCACAGATCGTAGAGCTGGCAGACAAAAGAGTGCAGAGGGATTTAGTGGTTGTTAAAATAAGTGAAATGCCTTAAACTGGGACACTGAACAAGAACCAGGTGCATTTCTGTTGCCAATCCACTGAACTCAGTCAAACTAAAACAAATATTATTTTGGCCAACTATAACCTTTGATGCTTACCAGTTTTCTTTATTAAAAAATACAAAACAAAACCAAAAAATTCCGTATCTCAGCTAACTGAATGCTGCACACACAAATGGCAGTATAGCATCCCAGCCACACACATCCCACAGTCATCATCTTAAGACAGAGTTGTTCCTTCATGGTAGATTCATTCTCTCTCTAGAATAATCTTAGCGTGCTATCAGGATACTTAGAATAAAGCTGAGACAAAGCAGTCATAGGCAGTGCAAAAGGAACAGCAGCAGTCATCTTTTCTTCTAATTATTCACCTTCTCTATCAAAACGAGTTTCTGCTCTTTGGCAAGACATTTAATTTTTATTTTAGTATCTCTGATTTTATTTTCAGAACACCTCAGAGCTCAGTCTTGTACCAGGATCCACCGGTGGGTTCCACACAAACTGATGGTTCCTATCCAAAAGGAGACTTGCATTTT